AACCGGGCTGTGGTCTATTTGCAACTGGGCCACGTGAGCCGTGGGCTGGCGCATATGCACACATGTGCATGCAGTCTGACACACGAGGTGCGGTCATTGAGATAGTTTAGAACGTAGAATCTTAGGGCTGGAAGGGACCTTAGGGGTCTTCTAGTCCAAACTCCTGCTCAAGGTCAGGGACTTCATACCAACCCAGTCAAATGGTTGTCCAATCTATTTTTGAAAAGCTCCAGTGATGGAGCACCCACACTCTCAGATATAATCCTAGCTAGTTGGGAGTTACTAACATGGTTTCAAGGGTATGGCTGGATCCTATAAATTTGCTGGCATCACAAAACTGAATTGTGTTTGGAAGACTTTTTTTTACCCTTCTCTTCTTCACAGGGAAACACAATGGGCAGTTTTTAAAATTATTACTTTGTAATAAAACTAGGTCTAATCAAACTTCCTAACATTTAAATGGAAGCAGTTTTCAAAGGAAAGGAGAGAAAAAAAGAAAGAACTGCTTTTGTAACAGTCCTAAAAATTTCCCTCTTAGAATGTCTTTTAGCAATACCATGACAACAACAAAGGGAAAATGATAATTGACATTAATTTCATTACACTGGAAGAGACATTCAGCTAAGAATCCAAGAATTAATGATTGGTAATTAATTCCAGGAAGTTTTATGAAAAAATGCAATGCCAACACAACACCTGTTTCATTTTCTCTTTGGCCCTGCATTCATTTCTCCTTACATAATCTACTTGCTTCCAGTTGACGTGAGTCAGAAACAATTGCAGGAAATTTAAAGTCTTGTTTTTTCTCTGTGGATCTTCTTGTGATCTGTGTACCCTTTCTCAATTCCAGTGAAGGCCTATAAATTAAGTAAGCTAGATCTATTTTCTTGTGCACATTTACATGAGAATATCCATCAACTGGTCATCATCACATTACAAAATCACCATGGAGGTCATCTAATATAACACCGTGTCTAAATCTCTAAGACAACCTTCCATATATTAGTACCATCCAGATGTATTGGACATTAAATTCCTACCTTCTTCTATGAGGTTGGTAGGAATGGAGTCATTACCCAGTACAAAGCAGGTATCAAACTAGCCATGAATAACCTAAAAATTAAGTTGGTATGTTCTGGAACAGATTATGCAAAGAGCGGTTTAACTTTCCTTTCAGTGTCTGTCATATCAACGATTCAAAACATTCTTGATTTATGTGGCTCATTTGAGTTTCTTCGTCACGCTGGGATCACTTTCAGTGGAAGAAAACTGAAGAGGCCAACAAGTTACTGGCATATTATGGCTTAAATTATTTCCTCAATCTCTATTTTAATGACTTCTGTGTGTTTGTTGCTTCGCTTCTAGTTCAGCTTTGAAACCACTAACAAAAGGAGTAAACATTTAAGAATCAAATTCCTATGGATTCCTGGTTATATTTGATTTACCTAAACATCATCTATTTAATGTTTGTGTAAAACTCAATAATATTTTGTAAAATGAGAATAATAGATGTTGCTCCTCCCCAAAAAATAATATATACTATATATTTATAGCTCTTTTGAAATACCTCTTTGCATTTTTAGTTGAACATGAAATGCCTGAAAAAAAACCATTTCCCCAACCTTTGGTCATATTTAAGAAGTAAGGCCAATCTTTGTGGTTTCTGTACAGAGGAACAATAGCAACAACGAGTCCCAAATCAGTAGAAAGAAAAGATAAAGCGAAGGAGATTTGTTGTTGTTAGTTGTGAAGTCGTGTCCGACCCATTGTGACCCCATGGATAACGTTCCTGCAGGCCTTCCTGTCCTCTACCATCTTCTGGAGTCCATTGAAGCTCACGCCTACTGCTTCAGTGACTCCATCCAGCCCCCTCATTCTCTGTCCTCCCATTCTTCTCTTGCCCTCCATCTTTCCCAGCATTAGGCTCTTCTCCAGTGAGTCCTTCCTTCTCATTAGGTGGCCAAAGTACTTGAGTTTCAACATCAGGATCTGGCCTTCTAAAGAGCAGTCGGGGTTGATCTCCTCTAGGACTGACCGGTTTGATCGTCTTGCAGTCCGGGGGACTCGCAGGAGTCTTCTCCAGCACCATAGTTCAAAGGCCTCAATTCTTTGGCGCTCAGCCTTTCTTATGGTCCAACTTTCACAGCCATACATTGCAACTGGGAAAACCATGCCCTTGACTATACGCACTTTTGTTGGCAGGGTGATGTCTCTGCTTTTTAGTATGCTGTCTAGATTTGCCATAGCTTTCCTCCCCAGGAGCAAGCGTCTTTTAATTTCTTGGCTGCAGTCCCCATCTGTGGTGATCTTGGAGCCCAGGAAGATAAAATGTTTCACTACCTCCATTTCTTCCCCATCTATTTGCCAGGAATTGAAACTAAATATTTGGGTGTATATTTTGGGAAAGTGCTTGATTGGCCTCTGATCTCTAATAATGGCATATACTGTATGTTCATATGAAGATATCGAAAAATATACTGGATAACGGCATCTGATGGGAGTTTGCCTGCTGGCTAAGCAACAATCAGCAATGGGTACCGAGCAATGTTAATTGTTCATAAACATTTCATATATATTTTTCAAATAATAGACATAATCTCCGTAGACATTTCGGAAACTGCCTAAACTGAGATGGCTCTGCTTAAAGGGGATTTTTTTTGGGGGGGGGCCCTCGAACCAAAATAATTTCCACTTCAGCCCCATTGGAATAAAATGGCCGTGCTTGTAAATGTTTTCAGAACAGTCCAGATCTATCTATCCTATTTCCCAGGTAATGTACGTAACTACCCATTACCTTCGTTGTCTTTTGTAATTTTGCAACTTTCTCAAGAAACTTTGGGTTGTAGGGCCCCGTTTTCTTGCTACCTCTTGTCCCTTTTACAATCGTGTTCCTGTTTCGTAGCATGGAATTGCTACAGCTGATTTAATATCCACTATTGAACTTGCACTGCCTAATCACGAGATCAGTGAAAAGGGTTTGTGTTTGTAGCCTTCCTAAATTCAAACTCAGGCTTGTCACTTTCCGTTGATCAAGGATTCTGCTGCCTCTTTGCTGTCGATTGGGTAAGATTGTTGAAGGCTGAGCAAGAATTTGGGGTGTTTAGCCCCCGGATGGTCTTGCCAAAGCCACAACGGAGGCCTGATTGCTTCAGACGCAAGCTCAAGGCAAACAAACCCATGTAGTGCCTGATTAGGGTTTATACCGTTGAGATCTGGGACCGGGGGGGGGGAATTCATCTCTGTTTACAGTAGTAGCCATATCCCTTGGCTTCAAAGGAGGGCTTTCAAAAAGAGCTCCAAGATTTGGAGGTTTTGGCAAGGACCCCCAGGCCTTCTGGCACATCAACGGTGACAACGGAGAGGGAGAACATTTTTAGGCTGCTTCCAGCTTCGTCAGTTTCTTGATTCCCGCCTTCTCAAACTCGCTTGTTAGTCAGGGAGGTGGACACGTCAACTTCCAGAGTTCTCAGCAGTCCACAACATTCTTCTTGAGGGATTCTGCTTGGAGTCGAAAGCCCAGACAAGCTAAGGGATTCCTAGAGTGCCTGACAACCTTTGTCTTCTTACCAATAGAAGAGAATATTTGTAGGTCAGTGTTGAATTGTTGGGTCCTCGGTTCTCTCTGAGCTAGGCAGCACTGATGAAGTTACCTACTTTGGTAATGAAATGTCTGCAAGAAAACTTCTAAACTTAGAAAGTACCAAGGACTCCTCATTCCTCCTCCTCCTCCTCCTCCTCCTCCTCCTCCTCCTCCTCCTCCCCCCCCCTTCTTCTCTTGTCTACCTTCTCCTTCTCTTCTCTGTTTTTCTTGCCATGTACATGTATACATCTGAACTAGACTGTGTTGTTTCTCTGTGTCATAGAATATATGTGGGTATATGCATTTTTTGTCATATTCATGTAGGTGGTGATCCTTGAGAGCTGTATGCAACAAAATTTCAATTTAATGTATGCTGATTAGTCTACAACCAAAGTGACAATAAAGCTATTCTATTCTATTCTATTCTATTCTATTCTATTCTATTCTATTCTATTCTACTCTACTCTACTCTACTCTACTCTACTCTATATTCTATATTGTATTCTGTTCTGTTCTGTACTGTTCTATTCTATTCTATTCTATATTCTATTCTATATTCTATTCTATATTCTATTCTATATTCTGTTCTGTTCTGTACTGTACTGTTCTCTTCTATTTTCTATTCTATGTTCTGTTCTATTCTATTCTATTCTATTCTATTCTATTCTATTCTATTCTATATTCTATTCTATATTCTATTCTGTTCTGTTCTATATTCTGTTCTACTGTTCTGTTGTATTCTATTCTATTCTATTCTATTCTATTCTATTCTATTCTATTCTATTCTATTCTATTCTATTCTATTCTATTCTGTTCTGTTCTGTTCTGTTCTGTTCTGTTCTATTCTATTACATTCCATTCCACATTCCGTTCCATTCCATATTACATTAAATTCCATATTCCATTCTATATTCTATATTCTATATTCTGTTGTGTTCTACACTATTGTGCCTTCTTCTTCACTTTCACCTCCTCCTCTTTCCCTCTTCACAGCTGCCCACACATCCTTTCCCTCTTCCATTTCCCATTCTTAATTTTTATATAACGATATTCCTAAAGTGGTAGGCATAGTTACTCTGACTTTTTTTTTTTTTTTTTTACATTTTTGGAAAGAGTACAGGAAAGACAGGTCTAAAAATATCAAGACGTTTTCATTCATGAAACCTTATAGCTCGCCCCTTGCTTTGTTCTGCCTTGACATTTAACGTAACAATTTTTTCCAGCAGGTGGGAATCGTCCTTAGTGGAATAAGTTGAAGTTGATCCTTACTGTGGGATTTGCTGAAGTCCTGTTTTCCCCCCCCCCAACTGCTTGCCCTGCCAGATTTTGAAGAATGAGGCAAACCATCAAGCTGTACTGTGTTATCATCTTGATCTGCGGGTTGTGAAATGTGTAAAATTTCTCTCTTTTCTCCTTTCAGGTTTCTTCTCTTGGATATTAAGCTTTGCATCCCAAGATCATGACATTTCAAGGGCTCCAGGTGTTGTTTGGGGTGTTTCTTTGCTCTTGCTGTGTAAAAGGATCCTCGCAGCCCCAGCCTCGGGTGTTCTTAACCTTCAATGGTAAGTAAATGGTTGTAGAACGTTGTTTTCCTGGGCGTTCCTTCTTCTTTTATCTTTCTTTTCCTTTCCTTTCACCCTTTCCCCTGTCTTTCTTTTTTTTCTCCCTTTCCCTTTCCTTTCTTGCCTTCTTTTATGTTCCATTTGTTTCCTTCATCCATCTTCCTTTCCTTTTTTATCTTCCTTTCCTTTCATTTTATCTTCCTTTCCCTTCTTCTTTTATTTTTCTTTCCCTTTCTTTTCTTGTCTTCTTTTATGTTCCTTTCCTTTCCTCCTTTCCTCTTTTCCCTTTCCCTTTCTCCTGTCTCCTTCCCTTCCCTTCCTTTCCTCCTTTCCTCTTTTCCCTTTCCCTTTCTCCTGTCTCCTTCCCTTCCCTTCCCTTCCCTTCCTCCTTTCCTTTCCTTTCCTTTCCTTTCCTTTCCTTTCCTTTCCTTTCTTTTCCTTTCCTTTCCCTTCCTTCCCTTCCCTCTTTTCCTTCCCTTCCCTTCCCTCTTTTCCTTTCCTTTCCTTTCCTTTCCTTTCCCTTCCTTTCTTTCTTTTCCTTCCCTTCCCTTCCCTCTTTTCCTTCCCTTCCCTTCCCTCTTTTCCTTTCCTTTCCTTTCCTTTCCTTTCCCTTCCTTTCTTTCCCTTCCCTCTTTTCCTTTCCTTCCCTTCCCTCTTTCCCTTCCCTTCCCTTCCCTTCCCTTCCTTCCCTCTTTTCCTTTCCTTTCCTTTCCTTCCCTTCCCTTCCCTTCCCTTCCCTTCCCTTCTCCTTTTATCTTCCTTTCCTTCTCCATTAATGAACCATGACATGAAATACAGCTTTATCCACCTAATTTCCATATGTGTGTTGAGTTCGCTCCTACTAATATTGATACAGTGTTCTTCCTGAGATTTCAAGGAGTGGTGCTTTGCCCCCACCCGCCCACCCACCCCGCCGCCCTTTTAATGCCCTTGAGCTCTTGCATGTGATCAATGTAGGCATCTCTGTATTAATGGGAATGTTTTCCTAAGGGTTGCAGAGCTGCATTTCAAATGGCTTTCCTGAGCAGCTTCTCATGTGATGAACTGCTCAGCTGGAATTATAATTTAGCAGATGACAGATCCACCAGGGCAATTAAGTCCTCCAGAGGCAGGAGGCTATGCCACCGGTTGCTCCTGGTTTTAAAGAGCCCTGGTTTTGTTTAGATTTTACTTTTTGCAGCTGGCAAATACAATTAATCGCAACCATTCTTTCTCTCCAATAAAGGTACAGTCCCATATTTCCACCACGGCCCCTCTTCTTGTTGTAACAGTTCTTGGTAAGTTCAGGAACAATACTTTACATCAGGGGGTCTTCAAACTTGGCCCTTTTATGACTTGTGGACTTCAGCTCCCAGAACTCCTCAGCCAGCGTGCCTGGCTGAGGAATTCTGGGAGTTGAAGTCCACAAGTCATAAAAGGGCCAAGTTTGAAGACCCCCTGCCTTATATCAATGTTTCTCAACCTTAGCAACTGTATGGTTTGTGGACTTCAACTCCCAGAATTCCCCAGTCAGCTGGGAGTCAAAGTCAAAGTCCATAAATCGTCAAGTAGTTAAGGTTGAGAAACATTGCTTTATATCATCTCATCCAAGCCCATAGAAAACACACGTTCAGTGCAAGAACCCATCTTAAAGCATCTCAGCTCCCTGCGTGGCATTGCTTTGGATATTAGGGACTCTTTTTCTCCCATCATTGAACCGGTAACTGCTTTCCTGTAAATTATATTCATTGTTCTGATGGTCTCTCTTCTAGCAGAAGAGATATAGGAGAAGAGAATTGGGAAGGGCAAATCCCGCTCTCCAATTTTATTCTTACAACAACCCTCTGAGATAGATGGAGGTGGAGAGTTAATCCTAACAACTCCTGAGGCTCTGAACTTGAATGGAGAATTGAAACCGAATCACCTTGATTGTTGGTTTAGATTGGCAGCAACTGACCAAGATTTGGAATTATAGGCATGTTTCATCCAACACTTGGTCTGCACTAGCTTATGTTTCAGTTCCAGCTTTCCTGTTACAGCAGGGGTCTTTAAACGTGGCTCTTTTATGACTGAGGAATTCTGGGAGTTGAAGTCCACAAGTCATAAAAAGGGCCAAGTTTGAAGACCCCTGTGGTACAATGTAGATGCAGGGGAGAAGTGGAGGATAGACAATCTCTTGTTTGGGATTCAGTTGATGTGTGGGGAAGAAAATCATTTTTCTCTGGGTTGAATATATAGTTTCCTCCGTCTGTGCTTTGGTTTAGGCTAGTCCTCTGCATTTCAGCCTATCTCGCCAGAGACCCTGGAAATCCATGCCACGCAGTGGCATCCGTATATATGCCAGGTCCACATTTCTTTTGCAACCCTTTTACATGAGGTAGTATCGGCGTTAGGAAGTCCAGTACATTCGAAGGATGACTTCCTGTCTTTGGATGAAGGATGTTGATGATAACAATGGTGATGATAATGTTATCAATTCAGTCATGTCCAACTCTTGGTGATTTTGTGGATCGGTTCTCTCTACATCTTCCAATCTTGCAGTACTGTGAGTTGTTCTGTCCTCTGGCTGGTGTCAGCTTTGATGGTGTCATGCCACCATGTTCTCTGGCAACCTGGTTCCCTTTTACTGCAAACATTTCCAAACATAACAATAACACTAACAATAATAGAGTTGGAAGGGACCTTTGAGGTCTTCTAGTCCAACCCCCCTGCTAGGTATAGGCAGGAAACCTCATACCATTTCAGACAAATGGGTTGTCCAGTCTCTTCCTAAAAAACATCCAGTGTTTAGAACATCCACAACTTCTGGAGGCAGGTTGTTCCCCTGATTAATTGTTCTAATTCTCAGGGAATTTCTCCTTAGTTCTAGGTTGCTTCTCTCCTTGATTAGTTTCCATCCATTGCTTCTTGTTCTGCCTTCCAAAGGACTGAGGGTGACATGATAGCAGCCTTCCGATATCTAAGGGGATACTACAAAGAAGAGGGAAGGTCAACCTATTTTTCAAAGCACCAGAAGCAAGACGAGAAACAATGGATGGAAACTAATCAAGGAGAGAAGCAACCTGAAACTAAGGAAAAACAGTGGAACGGCTTGCCTCCAGACGTTGTGGGTACTCCATCACTGGAGGTTTTAAAGAAGAGATTGGACAATCATTTGAAATGGTATAGCATGTCCTGCTTGAGCAGGGAATTGGACTAAAACTAAAGTCCCGTCCAACTTTTGTTATTCTCCATGATCATCTCAGATCTGAGATGAGCCAAAACACAAAACCCACAGAAACGAAGAACCCAAAAATCGTTCATTCTTCAAAGTAGTTGAGCAAAGGGTTGGACTAGAAGTTCCTCAAGGTTCCTTCCAACCCTGTTATTCTCTTCTGTTCTAAGACCTGATCTTTGTTTCTCCTGTCCATGGAGGGTTGCTACCTGCTCTGTTTTGGCAGATAGCTCTTTCACTCTGCTTAATGACCCAGTTGCTTAACGACTGCAACTGGAGAGCCGGGATTGTGATAATTGAGTGAACCAGTCACATGGGCATCTAGAAAGAGTACAGAGAAGAGCAACAAAGACGATCAGGGGACTAGAGGCTAAAACATATAAGGAACGGTTGCTGGAATTGGGTATGTCTAGTTTAATGAAGAGAAGGACGAGGGGGGACAGGATAGCAGTGTTCCAATATCTCAGGGGCTGCCACAAAGAAGAGGGAGTCAAGCTATTCTCCAAGGCGCCTGAAGGCAGGACAAGAAGCAACGGATGGAAACTAATCAAGGAGAGGAGCAACCTAGAACTAAGGAGAAACTTCCTGACAGTTAGAACAATTAACCAGTGGAACAACCTGCCTCCAGAAGCAGTGAATGCTCCAACACTGGAAGTTTTTAAGAAGAGACTGGACAGCCATTTGTCCGAAATGGTATAGGGTTTCCTGCCTGAGCAGGGGGTTGGACTAGATGACTTCCAAGGTCCCTTCCAACTTTACCATTATTATTATTATTATTATTATTATTATTATTATTATTATTGTTGTTGTTTTGTTGTTGTTGTTGTTGTTATTATTATTATTATTATTATTATTATTATTATTATTATTATTGACCCAGTTGCTTAACGACTGCAACTGGAGAGCCGGGATTGTGATCATTGAGTGAACCAGTCCCATGGGCATCTTACTTAATGACTGCAACAACCTACTGCCAAGATTCTCAGCCCAGTTGCGGGAAGTTGAGGGCTGCGTTTATGGTATATATATAAAAAACATCACAATGGTGGTCGTGACAAAGCGATGGAAGCCTTGCCTGTTTTTGTGTCTGTTGCGTGCTGACTTTCCCAAATCATACCGTCTGGATGCTCCTGAGGGACTGCAAAGCGATCTAGAAATATAATGTCCTCCTCAACTGAAAACGTATGCTGCAGAGAGAATGAGATGATTTTTAAGTGCCTGAGCCAACTTCGGCATGGGACAATAAAACGTCTGTGCATTTTGGAGTCTAGTGTGGTGTTGTCTGGATCTATTTACGCACATTGCTTTATCTCCTGAAAAGTCTCCAGAGCTTCCTGCTCCCTTTTTTTTTTGCCATCTTTTATAATAATTTGGGCCTGTTGCTGCTAACCATCAGCAGAAGATATGAAACAGCATGTGGGCTTCACGCCAGGAGGCTGTCAGTGGGACTGTCAGTTTTCAGTTATCGTGTAAGGGCTGCTACCCTTTGAGTTTCGGTGAAAATAACGCGTGAGGTTAGCCGATCGAGTTTCCATTTGAATTTCATTCCCCGCCTGCGATTTTGTTTTTTGTTGGGTTTTTTTTTCCTACCAGGGCATGTCAGGAATTAGCTCTGATTACTGAATTCGAGCAGATCTTTCTTTCCAAGTGCCCAGTGCCAAAGACACAGACTAAGCTGGTGATCCAAATCGCTTGTTAAGTGGAATGAGAGCAGGCGTGTCATGCTGAGTTTGGAGAAAGAAACAAGAGGGGAGGGGAAATGAAAAAAAAGAAACCCCATTGAAAGGTAATATAAAAAAGAAAGACG